AGCAGTCGAGCCAACGCTTACTATCCGAGGAGAAATAGATCCAGAGGGCCAGAGCTTAGCAGACAAACTTGAACGGAGACCCCTAAGCTCTTGCACCAGAAAGCCTTTCGCCAATTTTCAGAGGAGAATGAGGGAAAGACAGCTCGCGAGTCGCGATGGCGAATTTTAGAGGAGACGGAGACGGCGGACGGGAGACGAGAATGATCCAATAAGGGTTAGGGTTACGTTTTATCATATCTTATATAGTTATATTAAATATGTAATTTATATTTTATAAATATATAATAGTATATAAGTAATAGTAATATATTATTCTTAATATTTTTTTATATATTATAATTTATACAAAAGTTTTTTTTTAAATATCATAATTTATTTTAAAAAAAAATTTTAATTATTTATAATTTATGAATATGTATTACGTATATTTATATATATTTATTTTCGAGCCAATTCGAGCCGAACACGAGCGAACAAACTTTTGTTCGTGTTCGGCTCGTTTACATTTCGAGCTTAAAATTTTGTTCGTGTTCGGCTCGTTAGGCTTAACGAACGAGCCGAACACGAGCTGTTCACGAACAACGAGCCAAATTGACAGCCATAGGCATATACTTGCCAAATCAAAGAGGAAGTGTCACCGCCCAAGCTAAGAATCCCTCACTTTGATTCCTACAAATGGAGGCACGACCTGATCGATTACGTAGCGTCGTTCGAGTCATCAATTGGTATGTTCCACATCGAAAATTCCATAATATGTCATTTCTTCTTAATCACCTTGAAGGAATCGGTCATTCGATGGTTTAATGGTCCGCCAACCGAAACTATCCCAAATTACTATAAATTTAAAAGACTCTTCATTTCACGCTTCTCAAACATGTAAAAACCCAGGAAAGACTCAGACACCTTGCTTGACATCAAAAAGGGAGAGAGCGACCTACGAGTCTGCATCACCCGCTTCCAGAACGAGATGCCGAAAGTTAGAAATTTGAAGCCTTAAATACTTGAAATAGCTTTGAAGCGAGGAGTTTGAAGCAAACGATTCAAGTATGACCTAAATTTGTTTAAACCTTCTAATTTTGCAGAAGTATTGGTGATAAGAACAAGTACATACTCGTCGAAGAATACCTCCAAGACTCCCCGAAGGGTAAGCCAAAATCGTTCGATCACTCATCAAAGAAGCAGAAAGAACGAGGCAAGTTGCGAAGGGCGAAGGACAACCAATCCTCATTGGCACCAAAACAACAACCCTCGGTCCCATGCTCAGCGGAGGAACAACCGAAAGCAACACTCGATCAACGGTCTGCTCAATATTATGAGTGGTCGCATGTTTGCAGGTAAATGCAAAGTTTGACACCCCTCAATGCGTCGATGGCCGAAATAGTTCAAGTCATCCAAAGGAAGAACTACTTCAAAGCGACCCCACCACTGAAGGCAGCCCCAACTTTACGGGATCCGAAGAGGTAATGCCAGTACCACTGCAACCACTGTCATAACATGAAGGAGGGTCAATACCTCTGAAACTTGATTGAAGAACTCATCCACGTTGGAAAGCTCAAAGAGTTTGTTGCAATCATCATGCACACACAACAATAGAGTAAAGCACTAGCAAGAAATCCCTCAAAATGGAACTGTCAGGGTGAACAAGATCCACATAGTAGGGATTACACCTTCCATCTTCAGGGGAGGACCCTGACCCCCCGACTTGAAGAGATGGCGTTTGGGAGAGGTATGATCCGTCATCCCGTATACACGTAACCACTTACCCATTATCCTTACAGATCCAGATCTTCCACTGAAGGGGAACCCCTACAATGAAGCATTCGTCATCACAAATGGGTCATGTTCTACAAGAAGTTTGGTGAATATCATGCTCAAACAAGTGTTCGATAAGATTGGCTTGAAGGTCGTACGATTGATAGCACCGACCAGTCCATTGTACAGATTCTACAGGGAAAGAAGGAGGCACTAAGCCTTGTTGCCCTTGCCGTTTCTTGGGGAGAACCAAGGAAGCAGTATAATTACACGAAGAATTTCCTCGTGGTAGAGTCTCAATCAACCTACAACTCTATCTTTGACTGGCAGCTCCTCAACAGCTAACGAGATGTGACTTCTACCTACCATGTGACAGTAATGTTCCCAAGAGACGGGGAAGTAATCATAGTCTGGGAGAACTTGGAGCAGTCTAGAAGATGCTATTTGCTAGCGGTCTCAAGCGTCAACCACAAATCACTCGACATCCAAATCCAGAGGTAGGGGGTTCTCGAGACCAGTGAGGTCGTCCTCCAGGTGCATGTGTCCAACAAAGAGCCCGATAAGGTTTTCCTGGTCAGTGAACATTTTGACGCTGGATCCGAAAGCAAGTTGATACAATGCTTCAGGAGCACTGGGAAGTGTTCTCTTTGACTGCAGCACAAATGTCCGATGTTTGAATCGACGCAACATGCCACCGACTGAACATCAACCCTCTACTCTCGAACGGTTCAACAGAAGATCCGATCGATCGCCAGGACTTTGGTCGAATCGATAGCGACAAACAAGCAAAAGCTGCTAGACGCTGACTACAACCGTGAAGTCCAGTACCCAGCTTGGCTCTTAAACGTCGTCGTGGTCAAGAAAGTCAACGACAAGTGATGGATGTGTGTTGACTTCACCAACCTCAACGTCGTTTGCCCAACGGACACCTAGCCGTGCCAAAGATTTACACCTTGGTGGGCACAGTAGTCGAACACTCAATAATGAGTTCCTCGACACTCATTGTGGCTACCACTAGATAAAGATGCATCCGACCTAACAGACAACAACAGGACTAGGGCTAGTCCATCGATGGAGCCTCCAAAAAGGCAACAATAGGACTAGGGCCCTTTGGGCTTAAAATTTAGCAAAAATTTTGTCTGTGTTCGGCTCATATCTTTATCGAATAATTTGAATACAAGCTAAGTAAGAAGACGAACACAAATAAATTCGCAAATAACGAATTGTTTGCAAACAAAGCAATATATATAATAATAATAATAATAATAATAATAATAATATGTCGGGTAAATAGGTTATACCACAGATTGGACCGTTGAGTATAAAAAAATTTTTTTAAAAAAAAGGAAACCAGCCGTTGCGGCCCCGGACCCACTTCCCGACCGAATTCCCTTTCCAAAGAGTACTTATTTTACTAGCCGTTAGCCCCTTCACACTTCGCTCTTCTTTCTCTAGATCGTATTCTCCTCTTCCCTTCAATATTTCAAATAGATCTTGCAGGCATTCCTCCCTCAGGAATTCAAATATCGTCGCTTTAACAGATCTAAAGGTAACACAAGATGGCCTCACGTACCGCCTCCAAGGATGTAATCACTCTGAAAGGCTCTGCCGCCATTGTTAGCGAGTTCTTTGGTAATTCTGCTCTCCATATTAACTCTCCCCCTTAAACTCTCTTTTTCTTGGATTTAATGCTAATCTCTCTCTACTCTGTACATTTTTGTATGACTTCCAGGGTATGCGGCGAATAGGTAAGGGAATCAGTTCTTATCCGATTAGAGAGTTTGATCAGATCCTCTTTCTTTTCATGGCCCTCCTTCTGTTTGATGAAATTCCTGAACTGAACAAGAATTTGATTGCAGCATTCTTTATAATCGAGGGGTTTATCCTGAAGAAAGCTTTCTCAAAGTCAAGAAGTATGGCCTCCCCATGCTCTTAACACAGGACGAAGAGGTCAAATCTTACATTGCTAGCATCACTTCTCAGTTATCAGGCAAAATATTCTTCCACTTTTCTGAATCTGTTTGTTCTATGGTTTTAGAAATTATTTTGATCTGTGTCTTATTTATGACTACATTTTGGTTGAAAAAGAATGGCTGGAGGCTGGTAAATTGCAGAGGATTGTTCTTGTGATCATGAGCAAGGCCACATCTGAAGTTCTGGAACGTTGGAACTTCAATATAGAGACAGATGCTGAGGTGATTGAGAAAGGGTAATTTCTCTTAGATTAATCCTTCTCCTTACCCTTAAGTAATGGTTGGAGGAGCCTCATCATCTTAATCTTCTCAGAAAAAAACAAAAATTTATTTCTGACTGTCTTAACGGTCTGTTCCAGAGTGATTAGAGAAAAGAGTGACAAGGAAATTATGAGGGAAATCCAAGCTATCATGCGCCAGATAGCTTCTTCCATAACTTACCTGCCTTGTTTTGATGAACAATGTAATATCTTCAACGAAATAAACCTCTTTTCTTGTTCTCATATCTGTTATCTTCTATGGATTATTATTGTTTTTATCTCTCTAATTGTTAAATATTGTCCTTTTAGGTGTATTTGATGTTTTGGCCTATACGGACAGAGATGTGGCTGTTCCATTTACTTGGATTGAAAGTGATGCGAAGCTGATCCAGAACCCCCAGATGGTGAAACTGCATTCTTTTGATACTAAGGCAGGTTTCAGTTCTTCTTTTGTAAAATTACAGTGACAACTGGTTTCAGATTGTTTTTTTTTTCCTTCTTTTCCACAATTAGTTGTTTTTTAAAATTAATCTTCTTTACTTTAATGCAGATTCACAAGGTGGATACAATGGTTTCTTACAAAGTTGATGAATGGGATGAGGAATAAAGGATGGAAGTTGGCTTAGTAGTGAAAGATTTCATTCACATTTAAGTGTCGGTTTGTGTGATGAACAGTTTACAATGTAAGATCACTGCAAGCCATCACTGTAATGTAGAAATATTTTCTGGGGATTTGGTTTCTCAGTTTTTTAGCGTAGAAATGTCGGAATTATGTGTGTGTTATTCTTTGCGTTCCTTGTTTCACTTGCTTTGGAGAATGTGAAGCGCTTTTCAGCTGTATTTGCCTTTATTTAAAGAAAAAAAAAAACTGAAAAAAATGAACAAACAGATTAAGTTGGGATGTTCTCGGTTATATTAAATATACAACAATGTTTTTATCTTTTGGTCTTTTGGGCAATCAGGGTTGACTAATTCGAGCAAGTAATTATTGATAGCTCATCATATGTAGTATGCATAGTAGTCTTGATAGTAGTCTTGATATACAACAATGTTTTTATCTTTTGGCATTTTGGGCAATCAGAGTTGACTAATTCGAGCATGTATTTGTTGATAGCTCATCATATGATACTAGTCTGAGGGGAGAGTGAACATGTAGTCTTACTATCACAACCCATGTTCAGAAGACATCTCGACTACATTAGGGTTGTGATTGTAAGAGTACCTGTTCACTCTCCTCTTAAAACTAGGTAAGAGTACATGTTCACTCTCCTCTTAAAACTAGTGTATTTATACAAGTCTCACATACTATATGCATATGAGGAGCAATCGAGAAACCTATTTAGGTGCGGTGACAACTTTTTGGCTGCAGTCTGATTTTTTCAAAAAAATAAAAATCGGTAATAGCCACCACACTTAGCGTATCAGCATTATTTTTAATCAATTTATTAACGGGTTGTTCAAGCTGCAGCTAACCCAAATAGACCATTAGTTATTAATTTCGTTATTCGTGAGAACACCGTAATAAATCAGTTAATCAAGTTCCATAAAAGCTTTATAATTACTTTGAGGTTCGTAATAAAGCCTCTTTGTCGTTTGTGAGAACAACTTGTGTTCTTTTTTAAATTATAGTTTAATTTTTATTTTGTTATTAAATATAATGTTTATAATTTTATAATATTTGTGGGAATTTAAAAACTTAAAATTAATATTAATTTTTAAATTACAATATTTTTTCACAAACAGCATATTTAAGTTCATATAGCAAAATAAAAATAAATAAATAAATTTAGTATAATTTTATCTGATTTTTTTATTTAATTTTAATTTCTTAGATTTATGATTTATAAAATCCATTTAAATCAAATTATAAAAAATATCAAACTTTTTATTAAAATAAACCTCAAATCAATAAATTTACGACGATATGAATCTAAAATCATTTTAACAAATCCAAATAATTTAAAACTCATTACATTAGAATGTTTTAACCCTAATTTTTTTATTACATGTTATATTTCATTTATTAAGAAGCAGATAAATTATATAGCTTTAGTAATCAAAATAAAGATTAAAGTGTAAGTATGTATATATATATATATAGAGAGAGAGAGAGAGAGAGAGAGAGAGAGAAAGAGAGAGAGAGAGAGAGAGAGAGAATTTTTTAAAAATAATTTCTTGACAAAATTAGTATCCTACCACCCACGTGGTGTAAAAAGCTCTTCCAAATAAAAAGTGCCAACAACGCCTAACGACTAGGGCCCTCTCACAAATTTAGTCTCAACATTCCTCTCCCCTCATACCTACTTATAGTCTCATCTTCTTTAATTTCTATTTAAACTCATCATCCAAACTTTCTAATTATTGCCCTTGCAAACTCCTCTCTTTGACGAGCCATTCAGATTGCTATATCGAACATCTTTGACAATCATACAAACACCTCTCTTTCTGGAAATCATTGACCGTAACAAGAGAATCTCTGGCGATCATGTGATTTTTTAATAGAATGTTTCGATGTAGAATAGGGTGGAGGGGAAGAGCTTGGTGGGTTCTTGATTAGAGGAATTTGAAGGGAAATGGTGAGTGGTTATGGTTGAGATTGAGATTTTGATATGGCGGTGACAGTTATCTTAAATTTTTTTTTTTTTTTTTACATTTGGATTTGTATTGTTGGGCATTCAATATGTCATGCATATGATCAACAAATATTTTTTTTTTCATTTTGCCTGTTACATTGTTGAATCTTAAACTATTCGTGAAACACGCCCAAGAAATGAAATGTTTTAATTAAGAGAGAGCGAAAGAGAGAGCACCCCATCGATCATTCTAAAAACTGACGACCGTTTTGAGGGATTTTCTTCTATCATCTTCTGACAACCATTCGTTTAAGGAAGTCTCTATGTTGATGCTCATCTGGAAATGATCTTCTATTACTTCGTCTGACTGGTCGTACTTCTTTTTTGGGTCGTCCATCTGCTTTGAGATTCGTGCAGACACATTATGTGTACCTATATAAAAGTTGTTAAATTGTATGATATATTTGTTACTCACGAAAGGAAGCATCATATTCTTTGAATTGTCTTTAATTTGCTTGTTTATTTATTAGTATGATTGCATCGAACTGATACTCATAATCATGAAGGTTATTTGTAGCATATTAACCACTTGATAAAGATTTGTAAATTTATTCAAAAATATTAATTTGTCCATTAAATATTCTCAAATTTTTTTATAGTTATCTTATCTGCCACTGTGAAATGTTGAATTAATGCTTATTTGCATTATGTTGTGTCATTTGATGTTATCCGCCGCTACAATTATTGATATATGTGGTACCACACTGCATTCTTATTCGCATTATGTTGTGTCATTTGATGCTTTGATGTTTGTTCCATAACATGTGATGTCTTTTGATGTTTTGTAAACTCTTTCTATGTGGGTTCGTTGATGTTACGCTTGAAACTACTTTTCTATAGCTTGTTATGTGTTTGAAACCCACTCTATATTATTTAGCCAGGTCTTGTGACAATGGGTTTTGTTTCACATTTGTTAGATTTTGTTAGGTATAGCTCATATACCATATAAGGGACAGATGTTGAAGCGAAGCGGAAGAATCTGTCCTAATTCAGGGAGTTTGATTATGTGGGTTGGGGGCAACGCCACGCGGTACGGTATTGGGGTAATTTGTGACTTACATATTGTATACCAGGGTTTTATCCAGGGTTATATATAGGCTTGTTTGTAACCCTATATCATTTTTAATTCTGTATCTTGTACTCTTTTCTGGAGTTGAAAGAAAGCCGCCACTCTGCTCTCGAGAACGTAAACATCTTTGTCGAACCTCGTTAAATCTTTGTGTGTTTTTCTGGATTCGTGACGTTTCTTGTTTTTCTACGCCCTGATTTCTCAACTTATTTTATATTTATAACTTTAAGGGGCGGTTATGTTATTTAACCCACTGGAAATGTCGAGTTCTTTTTATTTTATGAGAATATCTTGGCTTTTTCTTCATTAGGTGAGATATACATTTAAACTAATTTTAATGAATTAAAACGTGTTTTCATCTTCAAAACCTCATTTCCAACATTTACACAATTTTGAATGAGAAATTGTTGACATGAAGTTTTGAATTATTAGTATGGGCATTTTATGTAAGCGCTTCCGATTGATCTTTTTTTTTCTCTTTGTTTTACTAAAATAAAATTAAGTTTTTTTTTTTAATTTTTAATTAATACCAAGATATGGTGTAATTAACACGTATGATTGGCTTGTATTTTTATTGGACCTGAAAAAAATAATTAAAATTTTGGTTTTTTATTTTTTATTTTTAATATTTAATAGAGGATCTATTTTTTGCTTTATTCTATTATTTATTTTATTTTATTTTATTCATGTTTTGATTTAACTTAAAATAGATGGGATTGAGGTAGATATTTTGAGTGCTTATAGTAATAACTTGATTTGTTTTAAGAAATAAAAAATAAAAATATATTAAAATTTTAATAATGAATTTTAAAAAAAATAAATAAATAAAATAAAAATTGCTGAATTGGCCACTTGGGTTTAGGGGTGTAAGTGAGTCAAGCCGACTCGTGAGCTGGCTCGAGGTCGGCTCCATAAGTGACTCGTGAACTGAGCTCAACGAGCCAACAAGCCAAGCTCAAGCCAGCCCTGACTCAAATCATTAGCTCATGAGCTGGCTCGTTTAAGAAAAAATTGATATAAAATATAGTCAAAACATAAAAAATTCTAAGATTTTATCTTTTAAGGTATAAAAAATGTTTAAGAAATAATATTTAGCACTGTATTTTAGGAGATTCCTTATTATTTTCTCCTAATTGTTCATTATAATTGGTATCCTACTATAAATCTAGCATAAATTAATATAATTTTCTCTCGTTTATAATAAACAAGCCAACTCAAACTCGTACTCGAGCTCGAAAAAATTAATCAAGTTCAAGCTCAAGCTGAGGGTGGCTCGAGCTTGACTCGACTAATTTACACACCTACTTGGGAGAGTGGTTGATAAAAAGATCTGAATGCTAGGTAGCTTTGCGACAAGGCTGACCGTTTCTTTCTATTGGGTTCCGACAATTGTTTGAAGCCTTGTGTGACTAATAGTGCCTTGTATTTAGAAATGGTGTTGTTAGGATTGTATTTGGTATGGTAGGTCCATTTTCAACTAATGATGTTTTGTTGAGGTGGAGCCTCAATGAGGATCCATGTGCTTTGCTTTTGGAGTGCCTCAAATTCCAAGAATATGGCTTGACGACAATGTGGATGTTTGAATGCTTATGAGTAGCATAAGGGGTGACTACGGGTGGTAATGGTGGAGGATATGTTGATAGGTGTTTTTTGGTTTTAGTGAACCCGTTTGAGATCGAGTAGCCATGTTGTGTTTGATAAGAGGAATGTGTTTGGTGTTCGTGGCGAGCTAAGTGGATAATATTGTAGTGGGATGTGGTGAAGAGATTTTGAGATTTGTTGTATTGGGTATAGTGGATGAAAGGTGGGTTATGAGAGGTTGTATTGGAGGTGGTGATGTAAGTGGTGGAAAAGTCGTTGGTGTAAGAAGGCTTGGAGGCGCATATGTGGTGGGGTGTTTTTGTGGTATGGGTGGATTGATTTATGGAAACACTTTTTCGTTGAAAACCAGATGTCAGCAAATGATGATATGGTTAATTTGATTGTAATAACAATAGTAACTTTTGTGGGAGGGTAAGTATCCAATAATGATACATGACCGGGCGAAGGGTCTATTTTATGTGGAGCTTGCAATTTTTATCAGGGAAAACATAGGCAACAGAAAATTCATAAATGAGAACAGCTAGGGGGTCTGGAGAAGAGGAGTTCGAATGGAGATTTAAAGTTGGTAATTTAGAAGGCAACTGATTAATAAGATATTTTGTTGTTATGAGTGATGTTGTCCAAACTTTAGAAGAGAGATGAGCAATAAGCAAGAGGGTTCTCGTGATTTCTATTAGTTGTATATCCTTGTGCACAACCAAACCATTTTGTTGGAGAATGTATGGGGACCTAAATTGGTGAAGGATTCTATTTGAGATAAGGTATTGTTGTAGGTTGTGGCATGTTTATTCTCCACTCCAAATCAAAGAAATTTAATGTTTTTAGTTAATTGGGTTTGTATCATTTTGCGGAAAGAGATTAGTTTGCTTGTGGTTTCAAATTTTGTGAACAATGGAAAAATCCAAGTAAAATAAGTGTAATCATCGTTAAGTAGAAGGTATTATTTGTAGTATTGTATTGATATAACGGGGGTAAACCCCATACGTCAAAATGTACAAGCTCAAAACAATGTGTAGATGCAGAAATAGAAATAGAAAATCACAGATGATGGCTCTTAAAAGAGTTACATTCATTGTAAAAAAAACTTAAAATTAGGACTACTTTTGGTATTTATTGTTCTAGATATGATGATTGCAATAGCTTGATGAGGATGCCCCGACCTTCAATGCCAGAGTTTCATGGATGGGGATTGGCTTGTGGTGAGAGCTGATATTGGATACAAGCCATCCTTGCTAGGTCCTTAGAGTAAGATTCTGTTTATTCTCCGAACCTTGAAGGCATAACCAGTTTTGGTGAAAGATATATCACAATTGTTGTAAGAGGTTAATAGATAAATAGAGAGGTAGTCCATTTAGGAAATGGAGGATGATGTCCTCATGATCAATGTAACCTCCTACAGCGACAATATTGTCAACAACAGCTTTGACGGTCAGAAGGTATTAAAACATGATTTGACCTTTCATTATGATATGATGGAGTTCTTTTCGACGTTGAATAACCCTGAAGCAATTGGTAGATTAAAGACAGCTTTGGAGGGATTTTCATATTTGTGTTATTGTGTCTAGTGTTATGTTGTATGATAAAATGGTGGGGAAGATAGTGAAGTAAATTGTCACCGATAGCTTTTGATCAATGAGTTGCCAACCACAATATTAGGGGTTTGGATGGAAGTGTCCTTTGGAATCTTGAGCTTGAAGAAGAAACCACAACGAGGATCCATCCATGAAGCCAACAAAGCCATTTATCTTGAAGAGCTTGAAGATTTGTGGCATCTAAGGGAGTAATTTTCTGCTGTGAGCCGGACGTGAGCCATAGCGTTGACATTGGACATCAAGAATTTGAGGGATTGAGGTATGGATGCTTCGGCCTTTACTAATGGATCTTGGGATGTTTCTCAATTTGTGGGAAGAAATTTCAGACATTTGAGGAAGGAGGTAAATAGGGGAGAAGAAACCAATCAGGTGGAGCACCTGTAGTTTGCTATAGCTTAACTTTATAAATGGCGCATGAATCAAGCTCAATATGCATATAAATGAAGGTTAAGTCGGCTCAAATCAGCTCGTTAGCATGTAACCAACTCGTTCAAAACAAATCTCATAAATTTTCATAGCACCTAAACTTTATTTTTTAAATTTATACCACCCAAATCTTTCATATCACATAAAAAATACCACCTTTTCAACTTCAAGAGGTAAGGTAGCATGCATGTAAAAATTAAAGTTTAGGATTCGATATGTAAACAAGTATGAACCGAGCGGTATGTATGTAAATCTTCCAAACAAAATTATTAGCACAAACGAAATATATACTTTCAAATTCTAACTTACATAAAACACAAAACAAAACCAACTAGACATTCTGCCATAATCAGATCAACTGACCTCCATAGATAACCAAAAAAAGGTAAATTTTGAACAATTTACTTAACTAGTGTAGCATCTCTCTTATTAGTAACCTCAAAACCAAACAGGCCCTCAGTTTTATAATACAACAATATCAGAAATATAAAACACACCTTTTACAGAGAAAAAGCCTCAGAAAACATTCAACCCTCACCATTTTATTTAATTTGACGTTAAGTGAGGCTATACCCACTCGCAAGCTCAAAGATAATACTAACGTGAAATATAAATACATAAGAGTTTATATTATTTACCATTAAAGTGTAGGTGGTATCCATATATAGTCGTGGGTCTGCTGATAACCGGCCTTTGCAAGAAGTTCATCGGCTTCCACCGGACCACGACTGCCTGGTTTGTAGGGTAGAGGCTTCAGGACACCGTCGTCTATTTGGTTTAGGAGAGGAGTGAAAATCTCCCATGCCGCCTGATTCGAGAGGAGAGATGAATTAGTTCAGGTGTGATTATCATGGGATTAGTGACTGATTGAGATAGACTGTACCCTTAGCTCGTCTCGGCGCACAAAATGTTGCTGATCACCTCGAATTCTGTTGGAAAAATGTCAATATAGTTATTGTTGTTAGGACTTTGTATTTCTGAAATGGCTGTGAAAGCATTGCAAGCACTTTACACATCTAATACATAAATTTAGATTTTTACCTTTATGGCACTTAAAATCTCTAATATCACATCAGAAATATCATTATCACTAACAATTAAAAGTGAAATGTACATTTAATGCATAGAGCGATATAAATGTAAAAATCAATGTTTAGGTATTAGATATGTATATACATAAGAATTGTGTGATATGAACGCAAATCTTTCAAGATATTAAAGTTTAACAATAAGTTTGGGAATAATGTCAGCCTATCGAAGAAAACGAGCAAAAAAAAGGGGCTGAGATGGCATGAGTTTAGGCTGGGCCCGCCGCCAAAACACATGCCACATCATTTGGCAAGCATGTTCTGTGAGCATAAAGTATAATGTGCCCATATATCATTACAACAAAATCTAATTTCAGAGGAATTATAAAGTGATGGAAATAATTACAACATCAGGAAACAAACCCCCGAATACTCCAAACCCTCGATTTGGTGCAAAATTTCAAATGGTAAATATAAAAACCACATTCTAGAAAATTTATCCAATTAAGGGAAACTCTCCAAAATTATCAGATAATAAAGAGTTTAATTCTACTTCAGGCTGAGCTGAATTTAACATTATAGATTGTATTAACGCATAATAGTGGATGAAGATTTTCATAAATTTAAATGTTATCAAGACATGCTAAAAAAGAAGATGGACATGTGATGCTCGAGTAAACTTGCACGAGTATAAAGTTAGAAAAACATACGTGTCCAAGATTAATCGTTCATAAGCCTCGGGAATTACAACATCTTGGTACCGCTGCTTGTAAGATAAATCTAGCTCACTTTGTATTGTAGACATTTCTAGACCAGGCTTCTTAACCTGAGGAGGAAATATAGGAATGTTAATATTTTATGTACCATCTGTTCTGTTGTTAGGTGAATCTACCTGATTAGGGTCACTTACATACATATCGCTCAAGTCATACGTATTAACATATCTACCACCTAATTTTAATTATTACATTTATAGCACCCAAACCTTTCATATCACATCAAAAATACTATTATTTTAGCTTTTAGAAAGTGAAATGCACCTTTTCATGCAGAGGTAAGGTGTTATGTATGTAAAAAATTGAAGTTTAGGCATAAGATATGTAAATACGTAGGAATTGAGTGGTATGTATGTAAATATTCCCATTTATTAACACCATCTCAAAGTTTCATTCGACAAAAAAGTACCATAGCTCATGCAATTTATGATGAAGTTAAATTATTCTGTTAACTAATTAAAGTAGAATATGCTACACAATCTAAAGAGTTAGAGACGAGATGTTGATGCATTAGATACTAAACAAATTTATATATATCCACACCATAAATATATATATATACAAATTTAAATATATCCACACCATAAATATATATATATATATATATATATATATATATATATCAAATGAGTGCCACATGTAATAGGGATGCCACCACGAGTATCTAAAAGAAGCAGGATCCTGTAACAGTAAAAAACCTTTATTTCCAAAAAAAAATAACACGCATGAAGTTTTTTGAATGGAAGAATTTCTAACAAGTTGTATCTAATCTGCAGATTCATTCCCGTAGCCATTTGTCAATAGTTGAGGTGGACAAATAGTTCATTTTTATGTTTCCTTCAGAGAGCAACATTTACACCTCTTCCATATTAAACCAAGAAAAATTTCAGATGGTAGAATTATTAACAGCATCACATTTTCTGCAGTTCCTGAACTTCAGTTGTTATTCATGTTCAAAATGTATTTATGGTTTCACTTCCATAATATATATATGTTTTTCTTAAGTTGTTAGAAAAACATAACGTATCTATCTTCTATACACACCCCGCACATACATCTCATGTTGGCACATTTGTATCTAATTTTTTGTGCTTCAACTTAGAAAGTGTTTCCTATACTAGAAACAATACATTGTACCCATTCATTGAAGAAACCCTAAGAACACTGCATTCATACTTCACAAATAAGCACAAACATAGAAAATTCCATTTTGGCACATTTTTGCCTGCATCTAACTATGAAAACTTTCATTTTCTCAATCATGAATCCCATATCGGAGTCCTCTCACCCTTAATAGAATTAAGTTACAACAAGACTAAGTCGCTTGTCAAATGTAAAATTTATACCAAAATTCATGAAATGATCCCAATTTTGAATTTTGCTAGTTCTCTGGCATTCCTCAGTTGTGATGCAATATCATATTACCTAGCTATTGTGAATGGTAGGCAATGGTATGCTAGGATATCATCTACAAGTTATACTTCACAACATTACCAAATCATGGTGAACTGTAAACAGAGGTTTATTATTTTTTAAAATAAGATTAAATTTGTTAAATGAAATTTGATGAATTAAATGAGAAACTAAGAATCAATATTGCTTGATATCAATTAACTAAATTAAAAAGAGAGATCTAGGGATAATCGGAAGGAGTTTAGCCTTACTAATAGAAATGTGGCAGTGATAATATTATGCAGGGAAATTTACATACCTAGCACATAATTCTTATTTATTTACATATCTAACACCTGAACTTTCTTATCTACATACACAACACTTTAGCGCTTTAGAATAAAGAGAATGCACAAGATAGTGCAAATTATAGAGAAATTAAGATGATGTATCATACTTTAAAATTATGGAAGAGAATAATCGAACATGGGTTAAGACGTGATACAAAGATTTCTCATAATCAATTTAGATTTATGCCGGACAAGTCTACTGTGGAAGCTATGCATTTATTAAGAGGTTCGATGGAAAAATACAGAGAGAATAAGGAGGATCTACATATGATTTTTATTGATTTAAAAAAAACTTACAATAAGATTCCAAGAGAAGTCCTTGGAGAGTTTTAGAGAAGAAAATGTTGATATGACTTATATTCAAGTCATTAAAGATATTTATACTAGAGTTATTAATTGTGTTCGAACAGAAAGAGGATGAAAGAGGATTGACCGAGTATTTTCCTATTTTAGTTGGATTACATCAAGGATCAACGTTAAGTCCATATCTTTTTGCTTTAGTTACGGTTGTTCTTATTGGACATTTACAGGAGGATGTATCTTGGTGTATGCTTTTCGATAATGATGTTCTTCTTGTGGATAAGACTAGAGAAATAGTTCATAAAAAAATTGAATGGAGGTTTACATTGCAGTCTAAAGGTCTTCGTTAAAGTAGAACTAATGGAATAAAATTCTGACGGAATTGTAACTGTGGGTGATTAAATAATTAAAAGGTGTGAATATTTTAAATATCTCGGGTCTATTGTTCAAATTGATGTGAAATAGTTAAGATGAGGATGTTATTAGTAGAATTCTAGTTTGATTGGTTGAAGTGGAGGAATGCGCCAGGCTATTGTGTGATAGAAAATTACTGCTTAGACTGAAAAGAAAAATTTCTAAGATGGTGGTGAGACCTGCAATGCTCTATGGCCTAGAATGTTAGCTTTTAAAAGAGAAGCATAAAACAAATTTAAGTGTTGTTGTGAAGAGAATGCTTAGGTCGCCTGATACTCAAAGATAGAATGTGAAATAGATATATTCATGATAGGGTTGGCGTGACTTCAGTGGCGAACAAGATTAAAGAGAGCCGTCTTAGATGGTTTTGTAATAACAAAATTTTTAATAAAAGAATAAAAGAATAAAAGAATAAAAGAATAAAAATTTAAATAATAATAATAATATTATTATTACCGAGTAGAGCTTTTAGGATGATTCTTCAAGTGAAGTTGAGAGGGGGAGCACACTTCTCGATCATTCTTCACTCCTAACCGTCACAGAACGAACATAGAGCGATAGAAGAATCAGAGAGGGAAGAAGAAAAAGAAGTTGAAGTCGAAAAAAACCTTCATTCCCTAGTCGAACGCCTTTGCCAGTCTTCGTGCATGTAGAATAAGAGGAAGGAGTTGCGCGTGCGGCTCTTGATCAAGCTGGGAGCCGAAGCCTCTGTGTGCGTTGAGTTTGTCGAGACCGAAGGAGAAGAGGAAGGTGAGTCGAGCTTCCTGCGACGCTCGCGTGCAGGAAGAAGAAAGAGAAGAGGACTCCAGTTGTTCTCCGTCGGGTTTAGACCAGAAGAAGGAGGTGACGGGCTCATTGTCGAGCCACAAATGAAGGGAGGAGAAGTACTACTTGCGTGCTCTGTTTGGGTGAGACAAGGCCAAAGGGAGGAGAATGACTGCTCGCGTGCTCTGTTGGGGTGAGACAGGACCGAAGGGAGGGGGAGAAACCCTCGAACGTGATGTCAAGGCAGAGCCGAACACTTGAAGGTAAGCTAAAGTTTTATATTTAATTAAGTTAATTAATATAATGTTTTATATTTGTTTATGTGATTATGAGTTTAAATAAGTGCTAATAGAAAGTTAATTGAATGATGATCTATTTAAATCCTAAATTTCAAGGGAGTAGCACAAACTTCTAGTTCTAGAAAAAAGAAAGATTATTGAGCAGCTGAAAGATTTTAAGGGATTTAACAAGAGGCTCAAAAGAAAAGTATTTCGGATCATGGATTTTGTAATGAGCATGAAAGAGATAAGTTGAGGTAATTTATATTTTCATTTAAACTCCTGTTTTAATAGCATTAGGTAGATAAATTTTATGGGTAAAACTGATAAAAAATTGATTCAAAGATGTATATTTTAAAAACTAGCCATATTGTAGTAATTTTTTTTAAGAATAAAATTCTTATCTAATAGTATGCACTAATTTGATATAGGTGGTTGTGTATTTCAGAAGTTTATTAAAGCAAAGGTGAATGATTATTTTCTTTTATGAATTGAATTAATATTATTTTAAATAATAATTTAAAACAAGTATTCATTCATGTCTTGCATTTTGATAGTCTGACATGGTATCACAAATGAGAGAAAAATAATGGACATATGAAGATGCATTTTAAATGATTTTAAATTATATGAAATCAAATGTAAAGATTCAAGTCATGCAGGATTACCTCCAAATGGTACTAACATGGAATGCAATGTACTCGTGCACCTTAAAAGAAATGATAAATGTGTACATTCGAGTACAATTTTTAGAGCGTCTTCAAAAAATTTTTTTAGGATATCTTCGAGTATGAAGGTAATCTTGTGATGACTATTAAAGATGTCAAAATGGTAAATACTTAAAGAGAAACGGGAAGAAAAAAATTAAGTGAAAGCTGAAGGTTTTTATAAAAAAAGAGCTGCATTTTCTTTTGTTCATTAATACATAGCACAAGCATCGTAATTTAATGCATATTAGATCATAGTTACTCACTAAATCATACTTACGATTGTAATTAATATTTTCTTTCAGTAGAAGAAAAACTAGATTTATGTCTAGTAAGAGAGATTTGGTTTACAGAAGAATGGCTGCAGCTGATAGGTACTAGTTTTTATATGTTTGCAATTCCTATTTATTGTTTCCTCAATATAAAGTTCAGTACTAGTTTTTAGATTATGTTGATGTTTCGGGATATTTAATTTTGTCGCACTTTAAGATTGGTGGCTCTTTTATAAATATTGAAAGTTTCTGAAATATTTTATGAAAAGTAAAATGAAATGTTAATACAGTCCGACCACAATTCCCATCTTACTTATTTCTATGCATCAGGTTGGGTCGTGACAGGTTTGACCACATTAAATATCAATCATCTGATGATCTGGTTAGGAGAGTAGATGTTTTAGATTTGACTTATGTTATATTGTATAAAAAATGATCTTAATTTATTAGAATTAAATAAAACTATGACACTCAGTAGAACACAATAGATAAAAAGGATTCATGTAGACTACCGTCCTTAGTGGGATAAAGACTACTTATTATTGTTGTTGTTGTTTTGGTACTATTTTTGTTGTGATATTAAAAATTTGAGTTCAATGTAAGCAATATGAAATTTTAGATGTGAGATGTAAATACATAAGAGTTGTGTGCTATGTTTGTAAATGCCCCTACTATGCAATGAATTAAAAGACAATTTATTTAGGTGAATAAAGTTAGTGATAAGGTGGTTGATGTCATAGTTATAATAGATAAGAGCATAGGGCATTATAAACATATGATGCAGATTTCTTTCCCTTGGTGTCCATCCCAGGTGGAAGGTCAACCCTGTTAAACTGGGTTGTCGACTAAATTGTGAGCTATGTATGTAAATTTTCCTAAATTTTAATGACCATTTTTTTTGCAAGAGGAAAACATTCACTATAATGACTAGTTAAAAGTTTAAAAGACGTATATGCATACAATGAGAATCTTGATAAGACTAAAGAAATCATAAACATGGTTCAAATAACAACATCAAGACATGCAAAAAAATTTCAAATGAAGCGAGCATATAAGAGTAGACATCAACAATTTAATGTTAGTTGTTTTTTGTTTGAATAACATAGGACCATAATCGAAGTTAGAAACCCACATCAACGTTAGCCCACTTCTAAAGTCCATTTTTCATTTCTACTAATTAAGTTTTGCTCGAGTTGTTAAGCCTAAACTTTACAACCCTACTAAAAAATATCTACAAATCAATCTTAGATCTGCCAATTCTGCTTCCTAATTCCCTAACATTAATTTATCAACTTGTCAAATGGGCACATTTCTTACCCTTCGTCGCAACGTCCAAAATCTACTTTTAGCTAGCTTAAATTGAATTAACTTTCAAAACTCAATTTAAGGCAATTATGTCTCACCACCATACATTCTCTTGGAAAAATGTTTTCATGACATGTATTGGAAAAATGTTTTCACGATGTGTATTTGATTTCTTAGTCATACATATTGAATTAAAAACACTATAGAAAAAGGCACAAATTTTCACCATGTAGTTCTTTCATAATGTTTAGGCTCCACAAATGTGAAAGTTTTAGTTTAACGTTAAATGGATTATCAAGGAAGGTGGCGAGCGAAAAATATACATCAGTAGAAATTTAAAATCCTTTGCAATTGACTGTGTTTTCAAGTCAAATTTAAGCTCCACTCCAAGGCTCAAAATCAATTGAGTTTGATATGTCTAGCGCTAATATAATTCAAGCTAACTCAAAATGGATGCACATAGACTATATTGTCTAATATATAATATTAAGTCTCTATCTCTCTCTCTCTCTCATATCTAAATATATGAAAAAAAAAAGGTAGTGAGTCGACAGGAGAGAGAGGCTGGTAATTGAATTATTTCAAGTACAGTTCAGCTTGACTCAACCCAATTTTGACCTTGAGCTGAGCTTGAATTAAAAAAAAAAAAAAAAAAAAAAAAACTAAATTTTGGGTCAAATAACATTCGCTCAAATTTTTAATTAGACATCTTCTCAATAGCAAATATTAAATGTCATTATTTGGAATCGGTAGTTTCCTAACTCAAGTGAGGGTTTTCAGTTTTAGCTGTCCTTACAGAGATGCTGTATTTTCCTTGACCAGAAGTGTGTGATTAAGCATGATCGGTTTGCTAGAGTAATGCACTAACATATTTTCAAAAGATTTTTGAATCATTCAAGCTCTTACAGTTAGTTTCATGTACATGGCCTCCAAAGGCTGCAAGCGTATGACAAACTCATTTCTTCCTTGCTGTTGACCTATTCAGAATAGAAGTCATATAAAATGTCAGTTCAGAGGAAGAAACATATAGAATATCCGGATGCAAATAGAAATAACTAAAGCCGGCATTTTTACATGAAAATTCAGGCCCATATGAACAGGGAAGCTAACTAATGAAGCTCGCTCAAAATGAGCAGTAGCAAAAAAGAAAAATGCAGATATTATAAAACTGCTAATCAGAAAGGAGGATATTCGTTAAGACAAAAAAAAAAAACCAATAAAATGAATATCAACCATAAAAGTTCAATTACAAAGCTAGATGTGTGATGACTCAAGAAGTAGATATTATATCTTTTGTCGACCTGACATGATTTAGCTGGAGGGAAAGTCACAGAAGCCATGCTGAGCAACAGGAAAATTTAATGAGCACACATAATAACAAAATAATGATGCAGCAAAAAAAATTCAGAAGGTGTATAATAGGCATAAAGGTTAAAAACATTAATGAATTGTTTATGATTGCGACATTTAAAATACAGTAAGAACTACACGTGAGAAGTTCAATCAATCTGATATAAAATACCAAGCAAACACAAAAAAATCTATGATTTCCAATTCATAGACACTTTAAAATAGGCGCAGCTTGTCACAACCCAACCCTCATCCATAGAAATATTTTCATTTTTCACTTCAAGCCTCATGATCATCCTCTTGGTGTACCTTCCAATGGAGGTCATTCATCCTACAAATTCTCTGCTATGAACACACTTATCGTTAGACTTCTTCATAGAACTTCAAGTATTCCACCAAAATAACTTGAAGTTTAAGAGTTCACTGATTTAAGGAGATCTTACAATCTCCCCAAGTTAGGAAACTGATGTCATTATCAGCAGCCCCACACATTCCAAAATTATTCACTAATAAAATAGAAATTTAAGATTATAGAGATGACCATTATAGATCCAAAAGTTGGTTTCAACCATGTAGCGCTTCGTCTTAAATAAATTCAAGAGACAGCAACTCATGAAGAAAAGCTTTGTCCTCTTTGGTGAAGCTTCATCGATGAATTGCTCTGAATAATCTATCACAACCAAAACTCTCACTCATCAAGATATCATCAATTTTTGCCTCAAAAGCCTCACAATTGTCCTCTTGGTGAAACTTCCTACAGAGATCACCGATCCAAGAAGTGATCTAAAATAAGCGCATAACTTTAAATTCCTAACAAAACTATGGTTTTTACACCAAAAAACATCTTTAAGCATAAAAGTACCAATTCACTGCATTTAGAGATTTTTCAAAACCAATACCCTTGTTAACGTTCTTGTTGTCTAATTTCTATATTACAGTTCTATGTTCTTGTAGATAGTAATATCCAACAATCTTGAGTTACGATTTCCCAAGATAAACAAACATTCTTCTAAAATATTTTTATAACATTGCTTTCATAACCCCACAAACCTCTCACACAAACATTTTAAGTATATACCAGAAGCAGAACAATAAAACACCATATTTTTGAAAGTAGGCCAGCCTATTATAGAATGCCTTTTTTATGGTACCATTATTTTGGAATTGATATCTATTTATTCCACATTTTTACTTTACAAAATAATAGTACAAATACAATAGAATAGAAAATGACAGATATCTAATATGATAAAATTTTCTACTCAGATTAGCAACAACTTGCATTCTACTATATCTTTCAAAATCAAGCGCCAAAACTAGCTTATCCGTGTTACTTAAAAATTTGCACATCTTACATTTATAAATGTCACCAGGAACTTCCTTGAATTGAACACGGATTTCAGCCTTCCTTGAATTAAGAGCTTTCCCAGCCTTGAGTATAAAAGGAACACCTATCAATTGAAAATATGTCAATAGTGGAAAATTTTTGGAAGATTTTATGAATCCATCATTGAAAATATTCACATGCTCAAGTAAAACTACCACCTACATTAAGGAGAATGATAAAAACACTTCAACTAAATGATAAATTTTCCAACAAATAAAATGAATTACTTCATTTGAAAATGAGAAAAGTCAGAACAACCTTCCCATCTTTCATTGTGTATCCGTAAAACAACAGTTGCAAAGGTGGGTGTATTTGAGTTTGGTGAAACTGTTTCATCATCCTTATATCCATCATATTGTCCAAGGACAACCTCTTCAAGTTTGATGGGTAGGACAGACTGAAGAACCTGAGAAGTTGTCAAAATGCCAATCAAAATGCATTGGACAACATATGCAAGTAGAATTTAAAAAGGTAACGCATACCAATTCTTCAGAGTATTATATTTAAATAATAAGGAGCTTATCCTTAATTTCAGAGAAGAAGAAAATTAAGAACCTTCACTTTCTCATCTCGAATATGCTCAGGCTTAAGGGAAACAGGCTTCTCCATTGCAACCAAACAAAAAACCTGAATATATATATAATCTTCTAATGTGAGATAATTCATATAGTACAGAAATCTACATCAAAAGTCCACTAAACTAAAATTTGACTTGTGTAAAAAGCAATTTAGAAGCATAAAGTTTAAGTGAATTGTATCATAAGCTTAGATAGAACAGGCAAAACTATATGATCAGAACTTATGCAAACATTATGAATCAATGATATCTTAATTACAAATCATTCAACCAATCTAGAAAAAAGGGATTCATCAAACGTACAACAATAAAAAGACAAGTACTAATAACAAGAGGCATTACAATGGACAATTACAAATAAATGCTATAGGAACGTACAACAATAAAAAAACAAAATAACTGATAACATGAGGCATCGATACAAAAGCTTCTATTAAAACAGAAAAACAAGTACTCAGAGCAACATCTTGCTTTAAGCCTGATGAATTTAGATGAGTGATGATAGATTTTTTTTCTTATTGCTTTCACGGCTGGAAAATAAGATTAGAAATCCCCTATCCATTAGAGCATCAATGCTCTGCATGCTTTCATCAAAATCATAAGACTGCTCTGAAATACGATCGCCAACTTTGTCAGTAGTAGGTTGAACAGAAAACATGTTTGGAAGACAGGGAGCAATGTTCATGCTTGCAGGTGATGAGATAATAATTCCCCTAAGGCTAACACGGGCAGGCTTAGAAGGTTTTAATTTCATTGAAAGGTCTAAAGTTGGTGCCGAATTCAGAGTACAAATTTGATATAGAGGACAAACAACCACCATGTTTGAAGGTTAAATCTGGCCATTAGTGTGCTCACCTTGTGCCTAGCTGTTTAGTTTATTGAGTTTCACATGAGCCATGAAACATTTAAAATAGCTGTGCCTACAAACTTAACAACAAGAATAGTATGAAGTCGTGCCTTCAAATTTGACCTTCTACTAACGGCCATAAAGGGGAATCAATCCACACCACTCTTTCAAGATGAATAAAAAGTTGAATTCATTCAGAAATAGCGATAGATTGAGAAGAGAGATGTGTACTTAAAGCATTCACTTGCAAAAATTTTCCAACAATAGAGCCGGAGAGAATAAGCTTGATAGGTTAAAATAATGTTGGCAAATACAAAGAAATACAACCCAAAAAAAGAGTTATAGTTGGTTCCTCGAAAGAATTAAAGTGAGAAGTCCATTTTGGAATTTGCATGAGTATCCAGTAACATAATAAGATAGTCGTGAAAGGAGTTTGGATGATTCTGCTTTTAATGAAATCTTTACAATGAAATGATAATGGTCAACAAGCCCAGCTAAAAGTCTCCAACCAAATATAAGCCTAACATTAATTTATAAATGCTCCCTAGATTTGGGCAATTCCAGATAAAAAATAACCCACAAAAGAAAACAATAGTAGAGTGGCAAGCTCTGCAATCACATCTTCAGTGAAAATAAGTGCATATTTTCTTTGAACAGTAATGGTTTATTTAAGTTGGGTTGGAACAAAGTCCATACCTGAAAGAATGAAGAAAAATGATTGGATAACGGCAGCTGAAAGCCTAAGCAAGTAGTTTTAAAAGCAACCAAGGGTAACTTACCATAAATAAGTTATGGAAGTCACATTTGAATATCAAAATACTGCAATAAAGATTCTTCCTAAATCAATCCTTCATATTTAGATGCGGTGTTGAAGGAATTAAAAAGAAAATTTTGTTCCGCACAATGCTTATGCTTTCCTATACCATCATAAACACAACGTTTTATTTTAATTCATTAAAGGAAGTTGGCTACTTCCCTTTGCATTGCGAGCTCCCCCAAAACTCTTAGGTTTTGGTACTTTGATGCATTTGACTTCAAAAGTATGATTGTTGGTGGATGTCGCTAGTTCCCAATTGCATAACGAAATGTCTCAATGCATCTCCTCCAAGCTAGAGCGTATGTCGTTCATCTCGTCTTCATGGGCTCTTCATACCTCCTAGAGCTCCCCCATCAAGTTCTCCCGGATCTTAGCCATTTGGTCACTTAAAGTCTCCTCTAGTTGGAGCATCATACCTTCCATCGTCGAATGGACTGTGATGTCCTCCTCCTCGAGGTCATCAATTTTTTGGCCTAGATCCTCTATCTGTGCCTCCACGCCATTCACTGCCTCCTCCACCCAAGCAAAGTGTGAATCAAAGCCATGCAGACCTCCTTGGACCACCCATGTGTTTTGAATGTAGCTGGACCTCGTTGCTCCTGACGACCTCGCCCTTGTTGAGATGATTCCACATTAGTGGCTTCGGACTCCATTAAGTACTCTCTGACGCTCTTTGTCATACCTTCGAAATGATGCTTTGATACCAATTGTCAAGGAATAACTTATCCCAAGCCACCTGTGCGACTTTAGTGCTCTTTCTTGGCAGTAATCAGCCTAACCCTCGCAAAAATTGGACTTGTAAGCACACAACACTCTTGGAAGAAGAATAGGGAGAAGTACTGGAGAAATAAACACTTCACTAAAAAAGTGTGATTACAACACTTGAATGCTTGGAACCTTGGATAGATCTTGGATGGATCCAAATAAGAGGGAGAAACTTCTATTTATAGTCCTCCCCAAGCCTAAGAGAACTTTCTAGATTACATTAGAATAGTCTAGTTTCTAGATAGTTATGCACCAGTTTCTTATATGCATGCATATCCCTAGATCTTCTAGGTTATTCTTGAGATATCCTTCGAGCTTTTCCTTCTAAAATTCTCCAGAATGTAGTGGATCCTTCTAGAGTCTCTTGGATTATTTTCCTTTCTCTAGTTTCCTCTAGAATATTCTTTCTTAAGGCATCTCTTGGATTATTCTCCTTTTCTTTAGTTTTCTCTAGAATATTCTTTCTTATGGCAAAAAGGACGTGGCCCAACCTTCTTGAGATAGAGGTGTGTGACACTAAGCTGAGAATGGAACAAGAGATGTAAAGTTTCTCCTTCCTACAAAGGTATAAAATCAAAAGAAGCTAACCTTGATAAATGATTAACATAACTATTAAAGGTAGACATAGCAGTAGGGTTAGATATATCACTTGGACATATCATATTACATCTAGAATATGAAAAAGAAAAAGTTCAACAATGAATGAATTTCAGCTATGGCTCATCTAGTTATATTCCTGACAACTTGGAACTACAAACAATTGATTCATGTTGATGAAAGAAGATCTGAAAACTAATAATTAGTATCAAACTATAGTACACGAGCTAATCAAGAATGCCCATCTATAGGCTGACAAATTCAGTTTCAAAAATAACAATTAGAATGATATAGAAAGTTACAGCATTTACAATAGTAAAAAGTAAAAAACATGATTTACCTGCAGTAGGTGGTTTTGAATGATGTCCCGAATGATTCTGCCACATAAAGGAAAAAAAAAAAAACCAATTCAATGCCTTATTGATAGAAAAAAATAACACAAGTGAAAATTATATAATTTAATCAGCCAATGAAAGAAATGATTAGTTATTTATTTCTTCGAGAAAAATTATTTATAATTATATTAAAGATTAAATCCGCATCCAAGACAACCATACATCCTTTTGGAGAACGGTAAAACAAAAGTTTGTGCATTTTGTTATTTTTTTAACATTTTATCACCCAGCATTTAGTTGTGTAAGTTAAACTTATAAAATTAATTTTTTTTAAATTCACTACTCAAAATATCATTTTTAAGCTAAACCAATATTGCACTTTCATATTTAATTCAACTAGTATAATATCGAACGATATGAATTCTGCAGCCAGTTCCCATCTACATTCCCTACAGCTTGCCAATGGTCTGCTTACTCCAGGTACTATCAAGATAAACCTGACGAATTCTATACAAAACTACAGCTGCTATCATGACAACTGGTTGTTGTTGTTTTGTTTTGATTTAAGCAGTATTATTATTCTGAAAGATAATGTTGGTCTATTATCAGTTTAGAGATTTGATATGCTGTTCCAGATATCTGTGCCACATTTGATTACTTATAAGAACTAGAATCGTATCATATCCTAACAGAGGTAATGACCTATAAAGTGCAATAATAATGGACCTTTGTCATGCTTAGAGCAACATACCAGGCTGGTGAGCACTTTACTTCTATTTATACAATACCTTTAAGATGTCTTTGCGTAATCAACTCTGTATTGCAATTCCCATGAGAATTTAATCAAACAGTTGCATGTCAGGTGATTAGCAGGTTGCTTTGGGAAGGTTAGATTATAGAGATGGTGAGAATTCACAACATTTGGACAAGTCTTAAGCGCAATACTGATTGGTTTATGAGTAGATTTTTGGTTTTCTAGAAGTTTAAAGACAGTTCAAAAAACCACATTTATAAACCGCTTCAAACTCCAGAGAGACCGTAGACTGCTATTGTTATACATCTCATAATCTTGTGATTATTGCATGGGCAATGGATTTGTTTTCAGGCTAAAGATGGATTTTTTTATATAGAGCTTTTCATACAACGTTGGAATATGTCTTGTGCATCAAAATATCACGCACCAATTCCTCAAAGAGATTGTTATAGTTGTTATAGTTCATGTTATTTCATTTCAAAAAAAAAAAAAAATTGAAAGAAAATTTTGATCTTTTTTTAATCAATGGCCATCTCATGGAGTAGATGAGAACAAAAAGATTTAATTTCATATTTTATCAACTACAGAGAAATAGAAACTAGAGATGTAAATTTGGGTAATTCACTACAAAATGTATGAGAGATAATCAAAGTGGAATATAGCCTTATGCAAGCAAAATTCACCTTTAATAACTCAAGTTAGAATTTATACCAATTTCTTTTAGGTATATTAGTGATCTCCTCCACAAATCTAATCCAACAACTACTACTTCTTTTCGTTTGACTGCCTCTCTAGGCCAAGTGAGTTGAGATCCAAAGGAGAAAAATTAGTCTCTTTGGGACAGCTTTTTTATTTCCTTGTGTTTCAGACTGTCACCACAGTTCTGTTTGGGGAGAATTGTATTATTGTTGCTTTTTAGAAATTGTTGAGGTGGGACTTTTTTCAATCCTGCCTGTTAATGTGTGGTGGTTGTAAGAAAGTTATCTAATTTTTTGTGTCTATATATATAATTCTCACCGCTCCTTTCTAAGAAATTGTTTTCTCCACCACAACTTTACAACCATATTTTTTAAAAAGCTGCAGCCATCCCAAATAAAACTTAAATCAAATAACCAAAAGATAAGTAGAAGCATCAAGGGCATCAGGTTTCAGCTGGTTGCAAGGCACGCTTACATTGGGACTAAACAAAGGCTGTGATCAGAGGCCTCTTAACACTGAGCAGAGGATAATGAGAAATGGAATTGGCTTCTCCTAGGGTAGTTTTTGTTCTTGAATATTTGGAAAGACAAATTCTTCTCTTCTAGTTGGCTTTCCCATGAAAAAAACTCCTTCAAGAGTTCATGAGATTGATGACCCTTAAAATAAAAAAAGGAGAAATAACTAATTAAATTAAAAATTTCTACCAAGCTGCTCCCTCCCTGGGTCTATAAATGCTCCTGCCCCTCTCTCCATATTCCTCTTGACATCATAATATTGCACGTAAAAATTTGAGAGTCCTCAACAGTTCTAAGCCCTCGCTTTCTACTAACGCCGTCTTCCTCCCTGTTCAAGAGATACAGTAGAGATTAGTGCTAGCGAAAAGCAATGACGAAATTGATGCATTCGAAAACTTCCGGAACTCCATGTTTCTTCATTTGATCACACACCCCCCTACTTTTTCCTCTCGATCCCAGCAAATCTTAGATGCCTGCTTCGGCTCTCTCATGACACCAACCCTCAACCTTATTATTCGAATCAAAGTCTCGTTCCTCTATCTCGCATGATCAACAGAGAACCCAATTGATATTGGAGGTAACTCAAACCAAAACTCATACACGATAAATTTTAGTGTTGAAATTTAAAAACAATTACAAAGACGACTCCTCACCAATAAGGACACTTAAACAGAAAGTAAGAGTATGTAAATAATAAGATGAACCACACAAAGACTAAATAAAGTAGTAAATGCAGAGAACTCAGCGTAAAGTAGAATCAATCAAGGAATGTGACGAAACCAGTGTGACAGCTCCGAATGTCACAGCCTAACTCGATACAACCCGTTATATTGAGTCGGTCATCTCGTGTTAAGATCATAACAGATAAATTATTACCCAAGAAATATCTGAAAGAAATTTTATTTATCTATTTTTCTTCAAATTTCACACACAAAGCCACCAATATCATCAAATACTGCAAAATAAACATACCTAAAATTCATTCAGATCATACTATTATACAATAAATGGAAATTCATTCAGATCATAGTACTATACAATAAAAGAAGACATATGAAAAAATCATGATTTAATCTCTTTATCATTAAAAAAAAACTAAACATTACCATGACTATCAAAAATAAATGTCTAAGATAATGACATATAAAAAATCAGACTCTCACAAGAAATGCAAAAGTATCCGCTGAACCCGAGTCTTACACTTTCTTGAAACAACACGTGCGGGTAAAGCAAGGATAAGCAACCACAACTCATTATGCTACTTAAAATCTACCACAATTTTCAATATTAAAAAAATAATCATATATTCAATGTAAATAAATTCAACATGTCAAAATATCATGTGTAGTATCTATCACAATGCCAGTACAAGGAATTATAACTGCAATAGGCATATGCTAAATAACAATACAAGCAACAGAATATCATAAGAGTAGGAAAATAACATGAAAATCAAATTCAATTCTTTATTTGAATTATTTTAAAATTTTCCCTCCACCTCCTTATATCTTCACTTCCACTAATACCTCTACTTGTTCACATCTGTTCAGGCATATCAAACACATAGATGGATAATTACTTAGGTGCAAAACCACTTATAACTCCACTAAATTGCACATAACATACAATCACCATATCACAACCACCAGTAACTCCCCCATTTTTATCATTTTTTACACATATTTATGAAACAAAAGTATATAAATGGTAAATTTTGACATATCAAATTTCACAACATCTTATAAACAGTGGCACATACCAGTAGACACAAGTAATAATGTAATTTGCAAAGGAAATAAATCCACATAGATCGAAAAATAAAACTTACAAAACCACTTGAATGAAATGTCCAGAATAATATTTCAGCATTTCTTTCAGGTTTGATGCACATGCCAAAATATACAAAATATTGCACAACAAAAAATACTCGTCAAACAACAAATATTTTTATGTCGATATGTACAGCACAATCTAAACATATAAAAAGTTATGCATTAAAAAATTAATAAATCTCTGTAGATGTGAGTTTGTACGAAATTTTGACAAATAAAATACCAAAACTTAAAAAAAAATGTAACGAAATTGAAATCTAAAGTAGTTTAAAAGAAGTCTACCTAGTGTCAGATGGTTTCTCCAGCAGGCCCGACTGATGAAATCAGCTCTAAGACCTTCAAAATTGATTTTATCTCTCTAGAAATCCCTCTTTATCTCTCTAAAAGTCATGGTTTGGATAAAAAATGAGAAAAAAACGCATATAGTAGCTTCCCTGATAGTGGTTTGGAATATTTAAGCTTAATTATTCATATAAAATTATTATTTTTTTAATTAAGAACATAGTAGTCATTCTTGAAATTGTTATATTATTTATATAAACCTTATATATAACTTTATATATAATAAAATATAAGACTCCATAAATCATAGAATAATAGCCAAGAAATAGAAAAACATATCTAGAACACACTGGCGAAAAAGATTTGCAAACAGACACCAGATGGTTCTAGAAAGCTCACTTAAATAAAGATGTACCAAGTCATAAAGAAAGAAAAATCTAATGAAAATCTTTTATTTTTTCTACTTATGATAACCATAAAATAGGTAAAAATATGCTTAAAATATAATCAAAACTGCTCTACAATCCTGTAAAGATATTTTATAAAGTGGGCATGAAATAAAACTACTAAAAATTGACGAATAACTTGAGCATCAAATTAATTCCAAAAACTTCAAGAAAATAAATAAACATGCAAGACTTACCAGATTTCAAAATTTAAGTCTCAACAAGTGCACTGATATACTATAGTAGCAGTTGTTACACAGAAGGCTGCTGGAAATCTGCCGAGGTGAGGCTAGGGAAGGATAGAAGACTGCTAGCCGATGCCTAAGGAGATGGCGATTTTGAAGGCTAACAAACGAGGGCGAAAGAGCAGTTCGACCGACAGGAGGATGCACTGGAGGGATCCTAAAGGGGCAGTAATTTGAGGATGTGCTGCTGAACTAAATTGGAGTTTAGTGTCTAATTTGCTCCAGAGGGTCTGTCATAAGTGGCTCAAAGATTTAACGTCCTGATCGGAAGTACTGATCCTGAGAATATAGTGAAGACGAACGATCTCACGGAAATACAAATAGACAATATGAGATGCATTTAACTTCCTACGACAAATTTCATGCTGACATCAACCTAAGGCGCTTCAGGGACCAGTAAAGGTGTGTACAATCATGTATTTTGGTGGCGTGTTTTATGAAAAATCTTACATTGTTGGGCCAAAAAAATAGTTCTCTCATGAGTGCGAGAGTTTTACCTCTGCCAGTGGTTCTCATGGATGTGCTTCTCATACTGAGTATTGAGGAATGCATAATTTATTTTTAACGGAACAAGTAGTCGTCATTTGTTTTGTAGAGTTGCCCGTGACGTTTGTCCCGACATTGTCCCAAGTATCTTGGAAGTCATCTGCCTTGTATATGTCTTTTATAATTTCAAAGCCTACCACATGTTTCTACAAGGATGTGATCAGTAGATGGTGACGGCTCAGGCCATCGTGGTTTTGATTCCCTACATTGTGTTTGAGTACGAACTGGAAGAAAGCTAAGAATTCTACCCAAGTAGTGTGACGCCCTTTGAGTTTATTGTAACTGTTTAAAAATTTGAGAGCTTCATGATTCGTAAGAGGGTGAACTCAGTTGTGAATAGATAGACTCCAGTGTTCTAGAGCTCTAACAATGGCATCAAATTCTTTGTCGTAGGTAGAATATTTTCAATAATAATAACTTAAATGGAGATTTGCAAATAATTTTAAATTGTGGACTTTTTGGATTTGCAAAATCAATTGAAAATTTAAACCATTTAAACTTTGAAACAACATAAAAATGAAAATAAAAGGGAAATACCAATCATGAAATTAAAAATTAAAATAATCATTCAAATTATAGTTCAAGTTCTTTTCAAAAGAACAAAATCAGATGCACATAGGACATATAAAGGCTTATGCATAATTTTGATAGCCCAACAATTAATGCAATCAGATTTCTCTGACTTAAAATTTGATTATATTTGAAAATGATCATAAAAAAATTTATGTCCAAGTGCAAATGAAAGTTTATGTGGCCTATTTAAATACATAAATTGGGGCTAAATTCAAGCATATAAAAGCCATTTTTAAATGTTAAAGCAGGACTTGATATGCCTAATTTGTCAGCAAATCCGTAATTGTAATTTGCAAGAAGAGAGAAGGCGGTCCCTTTTAAAACCCAAAAGTATAATACTTTTGCAAATATTTTAAGCTCTCAATGATTTCAAAATTTATATAAACTTTATGGTTATCTCCTAAAGTTAAATGCAATAGCCTGAAATGTGAGCCCCACTCTTAAGACTTAGATGAGATACTCTTGAGTTAGGCATGCTTTAGGGTGTTTATCTAATGAATGCAACAATGCATATTTTCAAAATCTTGAATGTGCCTCTCAATATAAATTTCATAGTAAATTCATGGCTTTAAAATTGTGCAAGTCTTTAAAGTTTATAATTCGCTTTAAGATATCCAAATATGTGAAATATAAACCATGATTGTTGACAAGGATCTTTCAATCAGGTTGGGTTGAATACCTCCTCTAACTATGTAGATTGGAGACCACAACAACCGACATGACGAAACCATGGGATTTTGATTGAGTTCGTCGTCATTTCCCCCACAATCTGCTTTAAGCTCTAAGTTATTTTATAGATCAAAACCATATGTTTGTTATTGTTATAAGTTAAATATTTATTTTTAAATGACTAGCCTTAATTGAAAGTGTTCTTGTTATCAAAAGAGATAATTAACTATAGAGGCTTGTGCTTATAGGACATCTCGAACCCCGGATCAAAAAGTTCTCGCAAAATGACGATGAATATATGGTATTGTCTTATCTACTATTCCATCTAACTTATGAAATTTGACACTCAAAGCTCTCTAAAAAAAAATTAAACAAAAACAGAGGGCCTGGAGGCATCAAAATCTTTAAGCCTGCATAGACTTTCTCTATTCTTCCCATGTTAGTTTTCATAGAGAATTATTTGGTAAGTACTTGATTAATCTTCTTATCTTGTGCTCCTTCTCTACGAGCTTAATAGTAGATTAATTGTGCTTGCTAGTTCCATGATTGTAAATTATTCCCGAACAAACCAAATAAGTATTTTGTCCTTTAACATGCACTTGGTAGTAAATTAATTGTGCTTACTCGTTCCATAATTACAATGCAAGAACTAGAGTTGGAATAGTTGAATGTGAGGATAATAATTTTGATAAGAAAATTGCATACAATACCTATAAGTACTCAACCTTGCAAATACGGTAACATTATGTATGTTCAGTGCATAAATTTTAATATGGCCTGGCCTCTCAAGCAATGATTTAAAACCTCAAATAATTTCATGAAAAATCGTGGGTTTAATAGAAGCTCGTTTGTCTGTTGTGTGTCTAAAGTAACTTATAGATGATCTTTTATAATCTTTTTCTCGTACGATTGATTACAACGAAACACATTATAGATCAGCCAATTGAGAATTTGCCATTATTATGAGAATTTTGGGGGAAAGATTATAACAAATTAAAAGGCAAGTACTTTATTTCTACCACAACAAAAACATGTTGATCTGCGTGGTGCGAGAAAGATTTATTTTGTGGACTACAAAGCTTACCATTTTTTCGCTAGTTAGTTATTTTTGTTTGTCAATAACTTCTTAGTTAGCAAACTAAAATAAGTATATCACTATGGTGTCTTATCGTGGCATAGTTGAAAGTATAGTGTATCCAATAATATGCACTCACTTAGCATTTTACATATCTAGAGTTCTGAGATTCATGGATTAGTAAGCAATATAATAGCTTTTGAGGTATCTCACAATCAAGAGCCTAAGGTTACAAAGTTGTGGGATTTTTTTTTCTAATTATGCTAGTGATCTTCATAGAAAGAATTCTTAAGCTATAGATGTCTTCAGCCTTTTTGGGTGTCCCATCAATCGAAAGACTTGGCTTTAGCCTACAATTACTTTGTCTACACAAAGGCAAGGTATATGTCCCTTTTTGTAGTTACCAAAGAAGTCATTTGAATAAAAAAATTAGTTGAAGAGTTCAGTTTGCACCAGGGAAACTCAATAGTTCTTTTACTTTTATGATAGTCAAAGTGTCATTCACTCAGAGATCATAGGTAACATTAGAGAGTCAAGTATCTGGATGGTCCACTTCATCAAAGAGAAGGTTGAAGATGGAAGGTTTAGTCCAGAAGATCTATATAAAACACAAAAGTACTGACAGGCTTGCCAAGGTGATCCTTGCTCTCAAGTTAAGGAAATGATTGAACTCAATTTGTAAAATTGCTGAATTCCACTTGGGCTTCGAGTGAGGAGGCACTGGTAATTTGAGCATCAACTTAGTTATGTATATCTTTATATGAAATTATCAGAATTCAATTTAAAGGAAATGAGTTTATAAGATTTACATCAAATCCTTTAGGATATTTTAGCAATCTTCCTATAACTTGCTTTAACTACCATTCTCACTAAATCAGACAATAAGTTGAAATCCAAAAGTAAGAAAGGGAACCAAACTAGCGAGAGATAAAGCATCAAGGGTTTCGACGAGGATTTGATTGCAAGGAATGCTTCTCCTTTAAGACTGAACAAAGGCTGTTATTAGTACATTCTCATTATTTAACAGAATACAAAAAAAATTGAGAGGATTTTTTGTGGCCTCTTATATGCTTATTTTTGTTCTTGGATATTTCATGAGAGGAACTCTTCATTTTCTTTATTGTTCTTCTCTTGAAAATAGATCCTCCAATATTTGTTGACATTTTCACCACTCTTCTCATGCTAGTGAAGGGAAAAAAAGTTCCCCATATTTGTTATATGGAGAAAAATAGTTCCTTCATATACCTTTAATATTGAATTATTACTACCCCTCGCCACTATTGTTGTAGGTCATTTTTCCTTGAGCCAAATAAATTGGTATTTTTTATACTTGGTTATTTCATTACTCAATCCTCTGAAAATGTCTTTTCAAGAAAGAATGGCTCTTACTCTCAAAGGCTATCTAAGCCAGAATCCATCCTCTGACACTGTTTTTTTCAAGGAGCTATATGGGTCAAGTTTGATCCATCAGTACATGCGCTAACTGCTAACATTATCTTTGGATCCTTAAGTCAATTTTCTGTATTTCAAAATTTTTAACTAGATTTCTAGAGCTACGGTTAAATTTTAATTTATGCAACTTTGAACTAGTTACAGCAGCCTTTATATTGTTTGAAAATTTTAAATTTCATCTTAAATTTCAGAAAGATTACTGTTGCACAACTGCATCAAGTAGCTATCATGTTATAGTTAGCCCAGACTCCAAATAATGAAAGTAAAGTTAACTAAAGAACGAAACGTTTCAATCATTTAACAAATCCACTATGGCCTACCCATATTCATCAAAATATCCTCCACGTCCTTCAGTTCCAAAATCCTCCCTGAAGACAATCTGAGATTGATAGATACAAAGAAATAAAAATTAAAATACGATTTAAATAAAATCTCCATAACTTCAAAGGGAAAAAGCTCATTTAATTAGTAATGCATGCCAAACGTTAGACAGAAAAATGCTTTTAAATTTTTTTGGCTTTGTCCATGTAGAAGTACAAAGGAAAAGAAATTAATATGCGAATACAAGAATGTAGAGAAAGAATAATACCATATTGCAATTGGCTTAGGATTCATGTTATATGCACAAGGGCAATGAAATCAAACGTAGATACAAAGATCAAATTAAGAGAATTTGCAGTAATGCAAAATATTTTTTTCTGAAAATCTTACTCAAGAGTATGAAAAACAAAAGTTGTTTATAGCGCAATTATCAGTACTTTAGTTCATACAAAGTACAAGATGAAAATGTTTGTTTCTTTCATTTGCATATAGAAATCTTGGATCAAAATTTGATCTCTAGCTTCCAACATATCAAGGATTGATCTTTCATATGATTTAGTTATGAAAAACCTACCATCAAACATCCTAAATAAAAGATTATCTATAGATGATGACATAAATCGGGCTTAACCTAAGAAAAAAAACGAGCCAACAGTACAAAAGATATTGAAAGAAGATTACGATTTTCGGGTTTAACCAATGGTGAGATATCATGCCCTTTTGTCTAGTCCTCCATTTTTATAATCATCACACACAAAACGGCTTCTTTCAACATCAAACTCCTGGTTACCAATGTTAAAGAAAAATCATAGCATGTAGAATGTTTTTAAGTGTGCTAAAAAGTTGATTATGGTGTGAATATCATATTGTTATGCCTTTATCATTTACTTGTCTATGGAAAGTTGGCTCATGTAAGGTAATACAAACTGATATATTCAATCTTTGAAGCACAGACACTTCCAAATGGCGTATGTGCTCATGTCGAACGCGTCAGACAAGAATGCGGCTCTAACACGTCTCACATGTGTCCAACAAACTATGCTAGAAGTGAATTTAGGCTTTTACACTGCAACAAAATCACAACAACACGACAAACACAATGTTAGACACGGACATGGGACACAATATGTGACATAGCAAGCCGAAAATAAAACTCAATGGAGAGTTTTTGTTTTTTAATGCCATGCAATAACTAATTCATCTCACACTTAGACGTTGAAGACGGTGAGGCTCATTCGGAAAATATGGGAGGAAGAAGCACGCTAGCAAAAGTAAAGATGCATGACAGGAGAAGGTAGGAAGATGATGAAAACAATAAATAAGCAAACCTTTTTTTCTCCTCATGCTGAACTAACAAAGATCGCAGACTAAGGGTCAGTTTGGGGCAGCTGTGTAGCTTATTAAATAATCTGCTGATAAGCTAGATCCAGTGGCTATTACAAATTTTTATTTTTTTGGAAAAGTCATACTGCTGCCAGAAAGCTGCCACCGCACCTATCTAGGTAGATAGGTGCGGTTTGAAAACGCTACTTTCAGCGTTTTCAAAACGCATAAGCTGCCAAAACGCAGTTTACACAAACAGATCAAGTGTGTTTTCAAAACGTCACCGCACCAAATAAGCTGCCCCAAACGAACCCTAAGATGACACAGGACAAAGAGGAAGTCGGAACGTGTTGTCATTCTATTCCCCCCGGTAAACATGTGTAGTGAGTTGTGCAATAAGTCATAGATTAAATTATTTTTATATTTCACATTAAATTTTTAATGATTATGATTACAAAATTTTATAATTATGACATTAGATTATATTTTAGGAAATAAATGTAAAATTATTTGTATGGGCTGATAGATTTTATTCTTTTTTTTAATTTAGGTTTTCCATGCATTTAGAAGTATTCTATTGAATGTAGATAATATTGTATTATTTGAACTAATCTAATATTATATTATATGAAAATTAGGAGTAATTATAGATTTAATATCAATAATTTATTTAGTAAAAAATTATACATTACATATTAAAATTTTATTAAATATAAAAATGAGCCAATGGTATATTGTATCCTACTTTTTGTACTTATATCATGTTGTGTCATGTCCATATTCTTGTATTCATATCCATGTTTCATGGATAAGGTCTACACACAAGTGATAGACTTCAGGTTTCAAGACCTTGACCAGGGTTATACTGTAGCCTCACTACCTAGGTAAACTCAAGAAGCACCAGCTAGCTAGCTAGCATTAGAAAAATTCTGCACATCCTAACCAAGTAAACATTACACCCCAAGTGAGCTAGAGAGCAAATTGTAATATAAAACCACATACGGAATAAGCCATCCCAACTTCCTTTACAAGAACCAACAGTTCATCTCTCTTTTTCATCGTTGTAGTAAATGACACAATAAAATACACACTTTCAAAATCAAGCAAGATAAATATGCCCCAACGGTAGCACCACAATATAAATGTGCAAGAAGTTGATCCGTTATAGACCTAAAAAAATGTGAATAATCAGAGGTAAATTGTAGCCTAATTAACCAAAAAAGCTAAAGAAGCACACAACTAGGTGAGTTTTGCATCATCCTAAGCAGTCAAACATGCATCCAGAAAGACATTGACAACTTGCAATTAATGGAAAACCACATTTACCATCCCAACTTCCCTTACAAGAGCCAGTAGTTTTGACTCTCTTTTCCGTCATTGCAGTTGCCAAGCCAAATGACTTGACACAAAAAATACCAATCACTTTAACAATCAAGCAAGTTGATTGTGCCATTCAGAAAGTGGTTGGGTATGACTGTATGCAGGGGTGTAAACGAACCAAACACAAACGAACAGAGCTTGTGTTCGTGTTCGGTTCATTGGAAATTTAGTTTGTTTGAAATAAGCTCGTGTTCGAAATTATTCGTGAAGTCATTATTTGACATCCCTAATATTAATATATATAAATAATATATTATATTAATTATATAATTTATATTGTATAAATATATAATATCTATATTAGTATATTGCCTATATGAATATATTATTATTATTAATGTATTATATATTATAATTTATAAAATTTAATTTTTTAAAATATCATAAAATTTTTATATATAATTATTTTAAATTATTTTATATTTCGAACAATAACGATTCGAACAAGAACGAATGCATCATTGTTCGTGTTTGGTTCCTTTAACTAACCAAACGAAAAAATTTATTCACGTTCGTCTCGTTTACTTATCAAACGAATCGAACACGAACTCGTTGACGAATTGAACACAAACTGTTCACAAACAACGAGCTTGTTTGACAGCCCTAGACGTATCAAATTGGTATTAGAATATATATCTTGGTAGGATGACAGCAAAGAAAGTTGATGTGCTAGGAGTGGTTGAGCAAATTTGATCCAGAATGGAAGAAAGGTTTGCAACCATGGATGACAGATTTTCTTCTAATGAAAGTCGAATGAACGATGGATTTGAAGGCATAAAAGAAATGCAGTAAATGATGAAAAAGCTTATGGATGCAATTCAAGGCCGTGACGATCACTCCAGCTGCAAACCTTAACCAAGGGTTGATCAGCGAATCCTTGGCCAGGTCAATGGGGAGGGAGAACGAGCGAGAAGACAACGAAAACATCATCTACCTACAAGAGCATCCTCTTAAGACTTCGAGAGGAGGGCGAGTAAAGATGATGGAGAGGGATGGTCGAAAATTAGAGAAAGGACGGTGAAAGGGCACGAAAGAATATGATGGAAGAAGGCGGGAATCGGGAGTTAGATATGCCTATGACAGCAGAAGAGAGTTTCACCCTAGATACAGGAGGGGAAATTCCGGAGAGAGAGAAAGTTGTGGTGAAGATGCAAGGATCGGGAAACTAAAGATGTCAATCTTCAAAGGGGAGGGTGCACATGGATGGGTGCATCGAGTAGAGCGATACTTTGCAATCAACGAGCTTACTGAGGAAGAAAAGCTCATGGCAGCGGGATTATGCTTGGAGAGGAAGGCTTTAGCGTGGTTCCAGTAGATGCAGGCAAGGTATCCTATACACTCACGGGAGGAGTTTAAGGATTGTTTGTTGGAACGTTTTTGAGCCATTATGGAGTACCGAGAGAGCTTTGAGCTTTTGTCAGAGAGGTTGAGGGGGATTTCTGCAGCAGGCTTGGAAGGGAACTACATGAAAAAATTGAAGCCCGACATCAGAGCAGTCATCATCCCCTTAAGACCACATGGATTGAGGGAAATGATAGAGCTCGCCCAGATGATGGAAGATAGGAAACAAGTGAAATGTGTCAATGCCGGAAGAATCTACAAGAGCACTGTGACAGTCACGACACCGATGAACCAGACGGTGTCATTTCAAAAAGAGACACCGGTGTCATTTCAAAAAGAGACACCGAAGGAGAAAAAGGCATGTGGGGTAATTTCAAGTGTCTCACAGATGCAGAAGTGCATGACAAAAGAGTCAAAAGATTGTGTTACTGGTGTGACGAGAAATACGTCCCAAGACACCATTGCAAGGAGCTCGCCCTTCAGATTCTTTTAATTCAGAATGAGGATACATAGAGTGAGGAATCAAAAGAGAAAGCAGTGAATGAGTATCTGCATGGGATGTCTCAAAGGTGTCCCTCAATTTGGTAGTGAGATTTACCTCGAATCACACGATGAAGGTGAGAGGATATATCGGGGAATAGCCAATTGTGGAGTTGGTTGATAGCGGGGCCATACATAACTTTATCTCAAATCAAGTTGTGGAGAAGCTAGGGTTGAATTTGGTGATACAAGGAGCTTTGGCGTCATAATGGGGACACAGAAGGTGGAGAAAAGTCAATGAATTCGCAAGGGGTTGGTTCTGACACTACATGACCTACAGGTGGTGAAAGACTTCCATTAGATTTGGGTAGCACGGATGTGATTTTGGGGAAACAGTGGCTGCGAACATTGGGAGAGATGAAGGTGGATTGAAAGTCCTTGAAAATGGAGTTCCAAGTGTAGGGTAGGAAGGTGGTGCTGAGAGATGTTATCTTATGCAAAACCATAGTGTCGCTCAAAACCATGAAGGTGGGT